TTCACTTGTATAATTCATTACCCCATAGGAGAAATTATTCTTGAAAGTTTATTATAAATATTATTAAGAAGTCGATTAGATACCCCCTCCACCTCCTCACATAAAACTCTTGTTTCTGTGGAGTTTCTTGCCAAAAAGTTATGGAACTTATTGTAATTATTTGCCTTTCGAACACTGAATTTGTGGATATAGTCTTGCTGACCGATAATACCTATAACTATCTGCTTGCTATTTTGTGACTGTCTAACATTAACTAATATCTATAACTGTAAATATTGATGGATTTACATGTTTAAGTCGGCTCAAGTCAGTGAGTCTATGATTTTGGTATCAATCATTTTTGTTAACTGTATCTAACTGTGATACTACTGCTACGGTTTTTTTTACTGTTGTTGTCGCTTGTTAAAATTCGTATTGTGAATTATTTACCTTTTTCTAGTATTGTTCTGATCGCTTTATTCCTTGTTTTCCTGATTTTAAGGGGAGCCCTACACACGAGGTCGCTTCTCTCTAAACTATATTTTAATGTAACAACCGCCTTCTCAGGCGTGAGGCTATCAACCCCACTCTGTAAATAAAGTTGCTACAGATACTTCAGCAAGGTGAATCTCCTTGAGCCAAAAGAAAAAGTCTTTGTGGAGACACATGGACGTCCGCACCTCACGAGAGATTGGCAAAGCTACCCAGATTGCAAACGAGATGAAAAGATACGGAATTCAAGTACTAGGAATATGTGAAAGCAGTTGGAACGGGAATGGACTCACCAAATTTCAACAGGAGAGTCAGTGATCTGATCTACTCCGGTTACACAGAAGACAACCACATACACACCCGAGGGCGTGGCTATCATGATGTCAGCAACGCAACGAAGGCCCTGGATAATGACCGCCAGATTCAACTCCAAAGGAAGGAAAGTGTCAGTTGTACAATGCTACACAATGCACCCACAAACAACGCAAACGTCGAAAAGAAAGAAGAGTCCTATCCCCTCCCCCGTCCCCACAAACACAATATCATCGACATTATAATTATAGACCAAAACATGAAACAATATAAAAACACTTCTCCCGTTTAAAACATGATCGATTATTTATTTATTTTTTTAATTCAAATCGGAGGGAAAATAATCAGAAAAATATTTATGTATAAATACATAGATACATACGTAGAGAAAAAACGGATTTTCTAAAACCACACACCTTACACACACACACACATAATGTGCATATCATGCGCACCCCTTAGAAACAAGTGAGTTGAAGTCTTTGTCACAGAATGCGCACAACACATCCATACTCACGCCTCAAGCAAACATACATACACACAAATCAAATTCTGGGGGTAGGATGGGAGAAAGGGATAAAATGTTCCCCAGCCCCGGCCCCCTTCATCAACATATGTAATAGCCTTATACAACCGTCAAATATCTCTCAAAGTTAATTAGCCGCCCGCCCCCTCAATCAATAAAGCAAGCTGGAAAAAGGTGTGTGTGGGGGGGGACAGAGATAAGGAATGAGATACACATATTGAATTTCCCAAAAACGGGCTTTATCTACAATTATGTGAACATATACGAAGAGGAGGACGTGGCGGAGGAATCGAAGAAGACTAACTAATAATGAAGGAATATAGAGGAACGTATATAGGACACAGAAAAGGAGCATAAAATTACTAAGAATATGAATAATAATCATGACAGTAAGTGAGTGAGTGTGTAGGCGTGTGTATGTGGGTGGGTGGATCATCTCTACCTGATTGAATGATTAATCGATTATTCATGACTATCAGTCATGTTTATTGATTTTTATTTATTCTCTAGGGGCATTTCTGTATAACAAAGAAACATGCGTACACAACACAGCTTTATTTTATTTGTTGAAAATTCTGATAAAAGAGAATTCACTTGATGGATAAATCAGAAGAAAGCGAGAGTAAGAGAGAGAGAGAGAAAGAGAAATTCGACAAATGAATATTCTTGGTATCGATTGCGGGCGAAAAAAATAATAAAGAACAATTTTAATTTGTTGACTGGTGATCAACAACTGCAATTCCACCTCCTACTCCTGCTGCCGCTGTTGCTGCGCCAACTCCACGTGTTGGAGATGCATAAATTTCTTTGGTGAGTGTATGGATGCAGTATTCGGTGAAACAGAACCACTAGCACGATTCGCCAGGACAGAATTCAGTAGTAGGCGTAATTCTTGTGTCAGTGTTTCAAATCTGTACGCAACACGAATATTAGGCAGATTAGTTCGAGTGACATCATTGCCCATAACACCTTCTTGCGTGTAATTTGGTCCAAGCCAATGAGATTTAATCTATAGGGAGAATTAGAAGAATGAAATGAAACAATGACAGAAATATATCAATAAATAAATCCAGATATTTTTCAAGTATTTGTTTGGAGAATCACATCATGAGCTGACATCAGTTACAGAATCATTGGAAAGCCGACTGGGAGTACGGACACTGTTCTGTCCTAGTTTGCAACTCTTCAGTCACACACACTCTCATCGGGACTCGAACTCAAGACCCTTTGGTCACAAGGTGGAAGCTAGTAGACCATTAGGCCACTGGGGATCAGATGGGTGGGTGGGTGCGTGCAGATGAAGATTCTCCAACTAGGACGAAACAGCTGTCCAGTACTTCCGGTATTCTAATGGTTCTCTAACTGACATCTCCACTTTGTTCTGTTCTCTGCTATCCTCTTTAGTTGGTCCCACGATTCCCCATCATCTCACATCTCCTATAACTCATACGATCTCCTCCATGTCTAAGTGACGACCCAGTCGTTGTTTCCCACTCAAAATATGGAACGAAGTTAGTTGTTGAAAAAAGTCTGCAACAGGATGTTGGAAATGTTTCCCGTAACACGAGCGTCGACTTCTTAACCCATCCATATATAGAAGGAGTGACTTAACACTGTTTGTGTGTTGATAATTCGAATCTTGTGCCTTTATGCTGAATGCAGAAGACTTCCAAAGTGGTTGCCGAGTAATGATGAAGGCGTAATTCGCCTTTCCGATTCTGGCTTTGAAATCCTCACTCATTCTGCCCGTTTAAAGTCTTTTTTTTTATTCCTTTACGTTCCCAGTGGAAAATAGGGCGCCTTCAAGCTACACAGGCTTGAAGTTTCGGTGGCAGTGGTGTTTAATTTTACGAGATGAGGTTGTAAGCCTCATGCCCCACAACCTTCCCTCTTTATCAGTCTTATTACCGGCTTAGCGAGGTAAAAGAGTGTGTCCATGGCTGGGGATTGAACCACGGAGCATTATGCCACTCTGCCACCGACGCACTGTTTAAAACATATCAGATGAATATTTTTGTTTGCATGGAGGATTTCATCATGAGCTGATATCAGTTAAGAACCATTGGAAAACCAGCTGGGAGTACTGGATAGCTTTCTTGTCCTAGTTTGGGACTCTTCAGCGGTACGCACCCACCCGGGTTCGAACTCAGGACCTAGGTTCTCTAATTGATGTCAGCTCATGATGAAATCCTCCATGGAAACTAACTAAATCCCAGAACAGAACCAATACTTGAAGATTTTTGTACCTTTTTGTTGCGTGCATTCCACACTCGAATTCCATATGTCACCAATACGGAAGTTGTAGCGTCATCTTAATAATAAAGAGAGGGTCTACAAATATGCATCGATGATCCAATGAATTCTATCCTAAACCAACAGCACAGTCAGCAACCTCGCCTAAGTGTTACTATGCCAGAAAAAAAGGAAGGTTGGGTGTAAAGTTAGCAACCCTAGTGCCACTGCTGAAACCTCAAATCTCAAATCGAAGCTCCCCTTCAGAACGCAAAGGAATAGAGAAAAAAGATGTTTACAAATACAGAGATTTTGCCTTTTAAAGTCATCAAGTCATTTGAAAAAAAACCCAACGGGTTGATCTCTGACGAAATCTCAGCACGGATACAGAGGTCTACTTTCGCATATCCCAGTTCACGCCGTCTCTGGCTTAGTAGACGTGATATCCGGATGCCTATCGACCAAAGGGTGGGTGTACTGCTCAGCACCAGTCCGCTCCGTCCTCCTTTATGGCTAGATGTGAGACCTGGCCATTGAGACTGAAAGACATGCAAACCTTGGCTAGCTTTTTCGAACATAGGTCCCTGCTTTCTATCTTCTGTGTGAAGTGGTATAATAAGTGAGCAATATTGAGGTTAGGCCTCAGTCAAGTGCTAGTTGGTAAGGAGGGAGGGGAAATCAATCGACGAGACTGTGAAATTACGTCGACTGAGATGGTTAGGACTTGTCACGTATGCATGCCTAGTCATTGCCTTCCTCGACAATGGGCGATGTTAGCTGACGAAGGGTCATGCTGGAAAAGAGGAAGCGGCTGACAAACCAAAACATGGCACCAGTCAATGAAATCTACAACAGTTAGTCTAAGCCACGTAGGAAGGTGTAGACTTCTGACTAGTTGGGGTCCTCGAGACAGTAAAAACTAATGGAGGCTGGAAACCATCGATGATATGGCTCAAAATCGTTCTCAATGGCTGGCGAAGATGCATCCACTCTTTGTGATTTATGATTTCCAATGAAAGTATATTGTTCTTCGTTATTACTATTCCTTTGTCTCATATCCCTGTCTACTATCTCTATTATGCATTTCTTCTACTTTCTTCTCTTGGTTTGTGTGCTACGTGGAGGAAGTGTGGCGACTTGAACTGTTGCACATGGGTGGAAAGTTCTATGTCGAAAACAGACAGACAGAAGACCCAAAATTAGACATACTGTCAAACCCAATAATAATGATAATAATATTGATAACAATTGCAATTACAATGACAATGTTAACTTACCAAAGGAGAGAAACCGCTCATCAACACACTATTACGAGCTAATTCACACATATCCGTAGAAGTGAATTTCCATACTTGTGCAGCAATACTATACTCTTCAATTAAGGGTTCTTTGGTAAAATGAAATTGCAATGGATCGTCAGTGCTCAAACTGACGAACAGACCACGCGCTAAATAATCATTCAGGGGATTACGATGATAATCCAAGAATAGGAATTATTGCTTAACGGTGACATTGCAATTCCAATCTATTTTTTGATGAAAAAGGAGAAAATAGATCGAAAAAAATCAATACGTATATAGAGACAGTAATTTTCAAAAGGTTAGTTTGCCGAGATTTAAATGATTGCAAGCATTGTCACATTTAGAAAAACATCGCTGAAACCCATGTAGTATTGGACAACCACTTCATACTAGTTTGTGACACCTCCTCAGTAGGCAGCCATCACTCTACCGATACGGATAGAAACAAAAACCTTCGGATTGTGAGGCGAACTCGTCGACAATTTGGCCACTAGGACAAAATACAGACAACATTCATTAGCTTCAAGTGTTGGTTTGCAAGGATTTGACTGGTTACAGGATTTCATGATGGCCTGATATCGGTTAGAGGACCATTGAGTACTGGCAGCTGTTTCGTCCAAGTTTGGGACTCTTCAGCAGTACGCACCCACTGGGGCTTCATCTGTGATCAAAAACGAAACCAACAATCTACAGGTTCTTCTTCTTCCTATCAACTACCGGCAAAGTTAAACTTTCGACACCACTAACAACCAATCAGCAAACGACTTTGAACGGACCAATCACATTAAAGAGGCATATATGATGAATGAAAATGTATATTTATAGAAAAAAAGCATAAAATAGAGAATAAAAAAGTTACATGGGATATCTTTCTCGAACATGTGAGAAAAACATCTCCCAGTTTAGCATGGGACTGTCAATGGAGAAGTTACACCACATCCTGTACATATATTCATCCAAATGACCATAAATGAGATCCTTTTGAGATCCACTTAAAGCCCTTATCCTATTTTTCAACCTGCCCCAAAATCCTTCAATAGAATTTGTATGTGTCCTCGTAACGGGATCCACAAAATCACTTGAATGGTTGACTCTGTGATGAATACATCCCAGAGATGACAGTGAATTGTAGCCTTTCCACTCGTCGGTGTGTATAATTGACCCCCGCGTAACAAGTCTGGTAATAATAGGTATAAGAGTAGTTGCTTTTCTATCTGCTATCCTTAGGGAGAGAAGCGACCTAGCGAAAAAACTGCCTACGAAATATTAAAATTATCAGCTTACTCTCTCTAGCGTTAGTAGGCTTCAAACATATAGCACAACGATGAACAAACCCATCAGTTGATTTGGTATAGCTTTTTAAAGTCGTGATGCCACCACACAAACAAATTCGCTCTTTCCGGCGCAACTCAAATCCAGGGAATACTGGAAAACGCTAACCTCCTCGAATTGCAACAATAGCTTTGTAAGGTCACGCATTAGAAATAAATCAAGCGCTATACAACATTGGACTGCGTTCGTGAACCTCATTGGATAATTCGACACCGTAAAAGAATCTCATTGGATAATTCACTGATTGGTAGTTAGTGGTGTCGAAAGTTTAACTTCGCCCAACTACCTGAAGGAACTACTTCTCACTGAAATGCACGTTTAAATATCCAATTCAAACTCAGTGTACCATTCTGTGTACAGAAAGATTATGTAGATATCGAAGTCTACTCTCAATCCACTCCTCCTAGCTGACTGCTTCAAGGCGAGCGTCGAAGACTCTATCCTTTGATCAGCGAACTTCACCTACATAAGAGAGATGTGTAGATGGTATGCTTATATAATTTGTGATGAAAAACCTAATTTACAACACTGTCTTCTCAAAACCTTCAACGCGGCACACCCACGAAAGTGAACAAACCTCTCATTTCCATCCGTGGATGCACTACTTACCAGAAGGCAAGACTGTGAACGATTCAAAGATTAATATATCGCAAGCTAACATGGATTGGACAGCCTATCAACTACAAGAGCTTCATCCATTGATGCGAAAGAGCAAAATAAGTACGCAAAATATGTTTAAGGATTAGAAAAATCTCTTGGCATGACACGATAGAGAATGAACTAAATTCACTACATGAACTTGGGAATAAAAGTAGCATTCAAACCACCCACAAACTCAATTAGAAACAAGCTTTGTCGGTTAAAGAATCAATTCTGTGGAGCCAGTATAAGAAAACAATTTAGTTTATCTAATACCCTGCCTCCAGTGATTGTCAGGTCAAATACATAGGTCAAACTAGTAAAACAGAGGCATTGAGTCAAACTATCCGAACATAAAAACCTAGCCACAACATCTAGATGGTTGACCTAAATAAGATAAGAAATCTAGAGAATAGTTCAGCTATGGCATTACATGCAGTCATACACAACCATAAAATAGAATGGGATTAGACGACAGTGTTAAAATCGAATGTCACAGAGTGGAGAGAGACAGAGATTGATAACAGAAGCTTTGTTTATCGAATCAACTGCAAATACATGTAATAGGAATGATTCAACACCTATCCACATCGACATCTGAAGAATTCCACTACCCCAAAGACGATTAATAGAAGACAAAGAAGACTATAAAACTCAAGTTTCAAAGTCGTGTGATTATAATTGATGAAATGATAATGAACAATAAATTTTGTTCGAAACGTTGTCATCCAGTAAATAATACTGTTTCACTCACTGTGTGATACATCTAATAAACAAACTAATATGGAATTAATTACTACCATACATATATTAAGATGAGTGGGGTAGTTGGGCCGCAAGCGTGACACGGAGTTGATCGTGTGAGGAGCAGATGACAGTATATGAGTGGCAATCGTGGAATCAGCAGACGAAGAGAACAGAAAGTTCCACTTGAAACCCAGAGGGGAACACAATAATTACAATTAATAAATTCCAAAATTATCCTTTAAATATAAAATGCATAACTGTAGGCTGACAATTGACTGATCGCCAAAATTTCTTTTAATATCCGCCCCCAGAAAATATTAGACTGTCTTTGTACATTCGTCCCTTACTAACCACATCTACCTGAATATGACTCAGACAATATATATATATATATATATATATATATATATATATATATATATCACCTTTCACATTATAAGACGGTTTGGCGTGCGCTTTCCGTTTCGTTTTTGTAAAATGATACTCGGTTTTAATTTACTATTAGGTTTGTTTATATCAAAAAAGTGGGTTGACACTGTAGCCTACAAAAAACATTGAAATAACCGAGACAGAATTTCAGTTTGTTTTTAACACACAAACACACACAAAAGGAACTGTATACAAAGACTATTCATGAGAGCCAACAACGACTCACTGCAGCACTCCCACCTTAAGGAAAATTGAAGAAAGATATCTCATGGACGTCTTCCAAAAGAATGGATATCCACGGAATTTCATTAAAAGACACTGTGCGTCGGTGGCACAGTGGTTAGGACTCTCGCCGACCATGCACATGGTCCGAGGTTCGATCCCCTGCCACTGACGCACACCTGATATCTATGGTCGGTTTGCAAAATTTCGGCTACCGATATCCATGTTGAAAATTCCATACTTGTACCAAAAATACAGTGTGGAATCAAGCTGTAATCAAAAATATATAAAAAAAATAAAAATAAATAAATACCCCCAAGCCAACCTACCAAACCAAAAGCACCCAAGGAAAGCACAAAGAAAATCACCATACCATATATAAAGTATATCTCAGAAATCACTACACGACTCTTCAAACCTCAAGGGGTTGAAGTCGCACACAAACCAACAAAATCACTTCACTCAGTTGGCCCTATGTCAACCAAAAGACTCAACAACGAAAGAAGATAAAACCAACATCATCTACAAAATAAATTGTAACAACTACGAAAAACACTACATTGGCCAAAGTGGACGTCCCCTTTGTCTTCGTATCCATGATGATAAACTAGCCATCAAAACACATGCTGATATCCACTCTCTCTCATATCGCTACGTACAGACAACCACGGACATCAATTAAACTGCGACAACCAACGTTCATATATTAGACAGAGGAAACAACAAGAATGCTACAGAATTTTTAGAAGGCTGCCTGGTATTCCAGTGAATCATCAATCAATAGACACTTCGAGATAGACAAAATTTATCAAAGGATAAGAATGAAATCACGCACACAAAGGGTCAAAGTTCAAGTCAAGTAAACAATCAGTTCCAATACACGTAGCCTAGAAGGTGTGAAAACACACAGCAACAACCAGTCACATCCAAGGTCAACAGGAGAGATGATTTATAAACTCGTGGAGAAATCTGAAAGCTCACTTCAAATAGAAGCATGCGCTGAAGATATTGACTAGTAGGGCGATGAAAGCTTAGCAAATTAACCATCCAGCTCAGAGAACACAACTGCATCAAAAAAAATCCGCCTTTTTAAAAGGTGAATTAGGAGAATAATGCTAAGAAGAGACGACCTAGCTCCTCTATTGTGAAACATATTATAAAGACAAGAAATAAAATTGATGTTTACACATCTTTAAAACCTATCTATAAAACGTATTTAGGGCGTATCCCGAAGTTTGTGAAAGTCCTGGCTAGCAATTAGAAAGTTTAAACTACCTGAACAATTCGTCATCACACTAAACCTTCCCTATTAAACTTTGTTTTAATACAAGCTAGAGTAGATGTATTATTGCCTCTGTTATATAGTTTAGTGGTCTTCATTGTTATTTTGACCTTTAATATGTCCTTTTAACTTGACTTAGCTTGTCTATTTCCTCGCCATCTTAACTCTTTATTAATTTCACACATATATTCATATGACAAGTCCGTGTGTGATGGATCAGATTGTTCGAAATGTGTTGCGCAAATACAACATTACACAATTCAGAGGAATTACGTTTTCTTCTAGCTTTATCTAAATTCATAAAGGGAACTAAATGTTTTAAAAGTGAATCACATAAATGTCTTAAACAATATATACCTTAAAATAGGATCTGACCTGGTTACAACACCCCACCTCCCCACCCGTGAAATGACAAAATCAACACGAATGTGATACACAACTTCACTATGTAAACACACACATCGCTTTTATAAATCCAACAATCTACACTTGGTTTTGTTTTGTTATCTTTACCAATTGACCAACTTAACAGCGAAAAATGACCCCAGACTAACGAACGATGATCAAGTTAGT